CAGACTGAGAGGACTAGACTCAAAAAACTAGAACTAGATCCACAGAGATAGGAATCACACAAGAGATAGGAATCAATAGCTCAGAGACATTAGCATATTAGTGTCGGAGTAGGATCAAGAGAGAAAAACAGAATGAGGCAGAGACAGAAATCAAATATCAGAAATGGAAAGACATAGGCTCAGGAGTCCCAGGCAATAGAGGTTCATAAATTACTTACCTCTCTGAAGCAACAACAAGACCACTACGCCTGTAGGAGATACATAGAATGATAAATCTGTTTAGTCATATCTAGTTCTTCTTTCCCAGACACTAGCATTGGGTGTGCCTACATACAAGGCACAACCTCATTTCTTCTGGGCTCTCCAGGCACAGTTGCTGTAGTCTCTTTGCAAGACCAAGAGGTCCCAGCCCTGAAGTGCTTTAGAGTCCCTATAGTCCTAGGTAGAAACATTTCCAAACAGGTATAATCTGCTCACTCATTTATCTATCCAACATTATTGAATCTCATGCTTTGTGCATTGTCCCAGACAGTGAAGAAGCTAAAATGAAGTTGACACCATCCTGCATTCAAGGAGCTGAGAGCCTAGTGGGGAGTTGGTTAGGTATATAGGTTAGGTGACCTTGTTGTCTATTGCCCAGTGAGACACTTTGAAGACTGAAAGAGGGCATTATTAATAATCCCCCTGGGGCAATAGCTTAAGTAAGGAGTATCTTAGGCAAATTGAGATGAATGATCAGTTTGTGAAAAGGCAACTAACTCAAAAAGAGGTAAGATGAATTGAGATGTGTGAGTCTCTAAGCTTATATGACTGAGGCATGTCCAGTCTCTTCCCCACAGAACACATGTCCTAGAAGGACTGGTGAGTTCTTTCAATCCTGAATTCACTCTCCTAAAGAATTAGAACTCTGCGGGTAAGACTGAGGAATTCGCACTGACCGCCTAAGACAGGCAGCGTCCCTTAAACAAACAATAAATAAGGGGGAATCTGATGCAGACCGTGTAGACCCGGTCAGGAGGTCAAGACCCTGTGGGCCCAAGCGTTGTTGACCGTCCAAACCATAGGCACTGAGGATCAGACTTTAGCCACCTAGTAGACATAGCAAACTGTCCCTCATCTGATTATTCAGTAATGCTTGTTAGTAATCTCATACATGAGCCCTGGATATCCACAGACAAATGTAAAAACCTTCCCTAAAAGCCGAGACTGTAAATTCCAAAAAGGCAAGTTCCCCCCCACCCAAATAATAAAAAAAAAAAAAAAGCTAAAGAGGATAAAGAGAAACACTGTTAACTGATGATATATGGAGGGGATAATAATCAATGTAATAAAACAAGCTATATGAATGGTTGAATGTGAAGCTGATGATGTGCCCTGTAAACTTTCACTCAATCCAAAATAAAAACATTTAATAAAAAAAAAAAAAAAAAAAAGAAAGAATTAGAACTCTGGGTCCTGAAAACTTGGCCCAAGGGATACAATTCCTTCAACTATGGGCTCCCTAACTAGGGACATTGTCCAGACTTACTTACACTAAGATACCTCGGGGATCTAAAACTGGAGAAAAAGGTCGTTAAAAGGAGAGAGAACTTCACTTGACATAGCTGCTGTAATTGGTGCCTCCTTTCCTAGAACAGAGTGCTGAGAAACAGGGGCCCAGGGTTCTCTCCAGCTAAGTCAATCCATTTTAGGTAAAGGCAGGAATCTCTGAGTGGCAAAGATGGTTATGTACTTAGCTACTTGCTGAAAGGTCAGTGGTTAAAACTCACCCAGAGGAGCCTTGGAAAAAAGGCCTGGTGATCGCCTTGTGAAAGATAATAACCATTGAAACCCCGGCAGAGCACAGTTCCACTCGGACATACATAGGGTCAGATCTAAACAATAACAGCTCCTTTGTTTTAGTTTTATATCTTGCTTTTTCAGGCAGAGGCCAGAGTAGGTAGGAGAGTGGGTCCTCCATGCACCCATTGAGTGATCAGGAGAAATTCTGATGGCAGAATCTGCTGTTGGATCAGCTTTCAAGACCCTTCCTCAAAGTGCTGCCTCCTTCTGGGGCTAAACACTTTGTCAGAAACACTAAAGGCTCTTTGTCACTACCAAGTGGGCTGCTCTTGTCATGAAAGTATAAGTCAAAGTGAAAGAGGTCAGGACACAATGAAAAGACTTCCTTTTCTTTATTAGACACATTCCTTTCTCTCCTGATGAACTTCTCTTGTTCACCTATAACTAAAACCCAAACCTGCTGCTGTCAAGTCAATTCTGACTCTAGTGACCCTAAAGGACAAATAGAACTGCCCCCATAGGATTTCCACGGCTGTCATCTTTATGTCCTGGTGTGGCATTTTATGAAAAGCACTGGGCTGCAAACTGCAAGGTCAGTGGTTCAAGCCCACTAGTTGCTCCTCAGGCACTCCATTCATTGTTGCTATGAGTCAGAACTGACTCAACAGCATTTAACAATAACAACACCAATCTTACTGTAAGAAGACTACCATATCTTTCTCTCGTGGAATGGCTACTTGATTCAAACCACAGACCTTTCCGTTGGCAGCCACTGAACCACCAGGACAACTAGCTCTGTTTATTTACAGTGTCACCCCCAAGCTCATCCAAATTCCCAGTCACTCTGAAAGCCAGAGTTTGGAATCAGAACTTTAGAGCTAAAAGGGGAAATTTAGAAAGTGTTTAATCCAATAAACCACTTGCTGATGAGACATGTCTGTTGTTTCTGAGGAGTGGCTAGTGGGTTTGAACTGCCAACCTTTCAGTTAGTAGTCCAATGCTTATTCTACAGCACCACATTAGGGGTTCGCCAAAAGTTCTTGAATGTACCCAAAGGATACCAAAGGAAAGATGTAACTCCCAAGATAGTGCTCATGCATGAAGAGAGCTTGATCTCTGTCCTGTCTCAAACTCTAGTTCTGATTGGTCAAAAGACACCTCCGTGAAAATGAACTCATCTCAGCTGGCCCAACAGACTCTGCTCACTGCTGCTTCCATGCCCATTAGGAAAGAGCAGATGGTTTGCCTAGGGAAATGGCACTAACTCAATAGTTTTTGGTGATGTGAACAGAGTGGTTGAACTCCCAGAAGAGGAACAAGATCATTTCTTCCCGAGGTCTATCCTAATGCCTTCCTGCCTCACTAACTTTCCTGTTGAATAACCAGCTCCATGCTCACCTGCCCAGAGACACTTCTGGTCCATGGTGATTGCTCCCCATATCCCTGGGTTCCTCCTGCGGGACTGCACATACTCTGAACCTTTTATGCTTTGAGGTTGCGACAGCCTACCTACAAGAAGGAAGCAAGAAGCTCAAGAGATTTCTGGGGATTTCCCATAACACATATATTTTATGTAACTTCCTGGCAATGAGACCCAGGCTTTTACCTGTCACAATGCAGCTATTGAAAGGCTCTTGAATCCAAGTCCTACCATGAAGGGACCTAGTCCCTGAGAAGGGAAAGAGGGAGTACTTGTGGGCTCTACTTCCTTTCATTACTCTCCTGTCTCTGAATTTCCCCTCCCCATCATCCAGAATGTGTCTCTCACCTCCCTCTGGCCAGCTTATTCTTAATTACTTAGTCAGAAAGTCCTATCACCTCAGCTGGTCTATCCCAGAGCTGTTCTTCACTTACCAACTCTTTAGCACATTCTATGTGTAGCCTTTTTGGTGTCTCACCTAGGTGGGGTTAATGGTTCCTCTACTCTCAGAGATTTTTTTTTCATATCTTCATTGCAATATTTACCACATTGTACTATAAAGGATTGACATATATGCACATGTTTATCACCTCACTCTGGTTGTACAATCAAATACAAGAACTATTTTAAATTGGAGGGAAAGAAAGAGGAAGGAAGAAAAGGATGGAGAGGGGAAGATTCTCAACAAATGTTTATTGAAGACTTCCCTTAACTTGTTAGAATTGAATCATACTACAGATTTGTATTCAGATTCTCAATACCTTGCATGATCTGGTCCTTACCTATCCCTCTTCAATCTCCTTTTATATAACAAGTTCTGTGTATGTGTGTAACTATGTGTCTTGTGTCTGGCTCTCTCTGCTTTCATTCTTGCACTGTACAGTAGTCTACAGAGCCCTCTTTCACATCTTCAACCTTCCCACATTCTGTTTTCCATATGCCAGGTGTATGTCACTTGAGAGAGAAAAATTACCTGTGTCTGGTTTCAATCCTACTCAAGGAAGAGCAGAGCCCTCCAAAGAGAAAGCGTGCTGTTCAGAGAGCATACCAGAAAAGCAAAGGCGGACTGGGGAGCAGTGACAGGAGGAAAGTGTATGACTGTTGACAGTTTTTAGTGAGTATGTTAGGAACCCACACGTGAGGAACCCACACGTGCTCCCAGGTGAGAAAAGGTCCACTGTAAGCATCTACCAGGCACAGCAAACATGAGGACGTAAGGTTTCCTTTTGGATAACACTTTACCATTCTTTTGTCTTTGCTTCGCTTAAAGCAGTTCAGAAATCCTGATAACAAGGTGGGAAAGCAGAAGTCAGGGAAAGAGAAAAGAAAGACAAGCTGCAAATGGTAGCCAACAGTAGGCCTGGCTGGAGAAGGAGATCTGATATAACGTTTAATCAAGCTTATTATTTGGGACTGATTGGTTAACTGAGATGGTCTAGGCAATTTATGGTGACAATAGAACTTTTGTTACTTAAAGTCAACAGAAAAATCCAAGGACCAGATAGAACCATACACATTGACCAGGACAGTGGAAGGCAAAACAAAAGTTTTGTTATGTATAGCCCCTAAATCCTGTTAGTTCGATATACTGATTGTACCTATTTATCCATTAAGAAATCTAATTCTGTGTATCGGTAGGAGTGTAATATATTCATTTTCTATACTTTTCCCTACTTGGTGGTGGTGGTGGTTAAGTGCTGTGGAGTTGGTTCTGACTTATAGCAACCCTATATGGGGTTTCTGAGGCTATCCTTTCAAATTGTCATCAATCTATTTAAACAAGGTCAGTGGTTCAAACCCACCAGAAGGGTTGCTATGAGTTGGAACCAATTCGATGGCACTTAACAACAACAACAACCGGCTTCATTGTATTCCATAATGTATTCCATAATGCTGCTGTTGCTGCTATGTGCCGGGGAGTCAGTTCCAACTCAGAGCTACCCTACATAGGGTTTCTGAGGCAGGTTACAGGAACAGAAAGGTTTATCGTTCTCCCACAGAGCAGATGATGTGGTTATATCATTTATTTAATAACCTTCTTTGTATTCTTTTTAGATTTTCTGTGTTGTTCTGGTATAAACATCATTGGAAATATCATTCTTTCTATATCTATGAGATTTTCTATAGGACAAATTACTAGGAGTGGAATTAACAGTTTAAAGGACCTTTGTCTTTTTCAGTTTTGATAGTGAAGTCAGATGGGGGCATCTAACTTTCTCTAAATTTCACAAGGGGTAGAATCATTATCAGCATCAACAGTCTAAAGCTGATTTCTATGAAGCAGAAGTCAGGAAACTGTCTCTCTCCAAACTTTTATACATCATTACATCAGACATCAAGGAGCTCTGGTAGCATAGTGGTCACAAATTGGGCTGCGAACCGCAAGGTCAGCAGTTCGAAACTACCAGCTGTTTCAAAAGATGAGTTGTTCTGCTCCTGTAAAGATTTACAGCCTTGGAAACCAGGTACAGGGTCGCTGTGAGTCGGAACCGACTCCAAGGCACATAGTCACCACCACCACATCAGATATCCCTTCCATGGCAGTCTCTACTCTTCTGCAGGGTTCAACAATTCATTACAATGGCCACACAAAACTCATAGACCATACTCACAGTTCTGGGGATAATTAAGGAAGTGCCAGATTGCACTTCAAGGAGCTCTGGTAGCGTAGTGGTTACGAATCGGGCTGCGAACCTTAAGGTCAGCGGTTCGAAACTACCAGCCTCTCCGCGGGAGAAAGATGAG